TGTAAAACGTTCATTCAAAAAAAAAAAAAACATACTAATCATGAATAGTTTTGAAATCGGCCGAAGGTGAAAATTCTAATAGACAAGCTCTTCTTGGTGCTTGTTACGAAGAAGGCGTAGGAACTTCTAAAGATGAAAAGAAGACATTCGAATGGTATCTGATGTCTGCTCAAAATGGAAATCCTAAAGGCAAGTAAAGTTATTACAATGATTTAGGAACTTCTATTGATGAAAAAGAAAGCATACGAATGGTATTTAAAATCTACCGAAAGTGGTGATTTATAATGTTGAAATTTGCTACCTTAATGACTGTGGCGTTCCTAAAGATGAAAAAAAGTCAACATCCAACGTTGGCTATTTTCATAATCATCAAGTACACACGTAAGATATTTATTTATTCTTATTTAAAAAAGTCTTCTTGTAGCATGCTAATAAGATATCTAATATTACTATTATCAAAATAGAGTTAAGGTTGAAATGTATTAATATAAAACGTTTAAAAATATGCTGGTATGGATCATACTCGTTAGCGTAATCAAATTTGAATTAAAAAAAAATAAGCACGGTTCATCAAAAGGCTACAAAAATGGGTCGTGATTTTATTATCAAGAATCTGTTCTAAAGGTTATTATTGAGAGTTTGACATTTTTATTTTTATAAATAAAAATTTTCATTACATTAATTATAATAATCACTATGTTATTTCATATCTTATACATTAATAAAGTACATAAAATAACAAAAATCCAACCATTTCATAATAATTTTTAAATAATCTGTTCAATCGCTATTAAAATTATAACTGCCATTAACTACAACCACACCAGCAGACCTTTTGTTCAATAGTGGTTAAATTTCCTAATTAAACTATATATTCTTCGGCTTCCAAATGCGAAGAGGACCTTTCATAAGAGTCAAATTTCAATATGTTAGCTAATATTCAAGCTTAGAACTGATGAGTGTTACCAAGTTAAACCAGAAATAAATATTTAAGTTGTCACCGTGGTGAACTTAACCCTGAAAGCTATAAGATTACAAATAAGATCAGTTCGCCGCAATGAAAATTTGAATATTCATTTCCAGGTTTTTAATTTAGCAGCACTTATAACATTTAAAGAAAAATTACTCCCGAAATATAATTTCTCTTTATAGAGTGGCATTAAATTCTGTCGGGTATGCTTCTAATCCTTCGAATTCCTACCGGAGGACGTGAATAAAAATAAAAATGCTGAATCAACGACGAAGCGTTCTAATCTTATAATCTGCCAATCATATTCACATCATGTGATATCCCATTTGGGATTTAGTCGAAAATAGTTTGGGTTACGACATAATTGTAGAATCTAGTAAAAACCTATGGGATTCTACTAAGTCCCAAACTACCGGGTTTGGTTTGCATCTTTAATGTACGTGCCTTCTGGTATTTAGAAGTGCACCGGTAATTAAGTTACGACAATATGTCTATGCGACCAATTGTGTACAAATATAAAAAATGCTGGCTTATTGTACATCATGACGCTAGATTGACGTAACGAGTTTAATTACTGTACTACGATCTAAGCCCCGAGAATGATAATAAATAATTGCGCCGATATTTTGTTTGTTCGACAGTACAGCAGTAATAACCTTTATAACGAAAAATATGGAAGGCAAAGTGAGTCATCCTGTCGTTGATATTAATGTCTCTAATATTAACTCCTGATCCGTGAGATTGATAATAAGAGACTACAGTATTTGGGTCAACAAGTTATTAGAAAGACAATCACGTGGAAGACTTCCTTGCGAAGATTAATGTGTTACGAATCTGTGAGACCCTACTGTTGGTACGTACTAAAACCTTATACATTGAAAATAGACAAATTGGGCATGATAAAATTGCATCACATTCCATTGGACGTACGTACGTACGTACTTCGATTTAAAAATAATTGGACACAACACTGCATTCAACAATGACACTACGGAAAATATTTTGCTTTCAACCTTGTCATAACCAATGTAACAAAGTGCTAATTTAAATTATTATAACAATTTATTGACTTATTTTCGTTATCACATTTATCACCATATATTACTGTATATATCAAGATATCAAGATATTATTAAATTAAATAAGCGATGGTACCAATCCCCCCAGAAGCTCAAAGAAATTTGAGTTTCTACAAGATGATTTGTGTACTTTGTATTTATGTATGCAAGTTGACAAACAATGGGCTAAACTAGCCATTGAAATATTGTGGAGGGACAAGTCTCTTTCTGTCTGAAAATTCCAAGCTTATTCTGAAAGAACATGGTGTTGTCATTCCATCAACCACACGATCTCCATGTTTCCCATCTTAACTATTTGATTGATACATTTACTTTACGATTCTAAGGCTTCATACAATATTGGCATATTGGCAGTCGAGTGAAGATATATCACTTCAACCCTGTATAGCAGATATCTATTCAATCAAGAAATATACAGGGTATTTATAAATCAATGTCAAAATTTAAAAATCCCGAATACCGTGATACTGTAAATCTGTGCCATTTTTTTTCTTATCAATGTTGAAATCTGCTTTTCAAATCTTTGTGAACTTCGAACCACAGCTGAAATACTAGCTTCAATATTTTATCGAATGACACAAATTTGTGGAAATCTTGAAAGATTGATAATTGAAGAATGTCACACAGATAATGGTTTGGTCACTTTTATAAACATTCGAAATAGGTTAAACTACGTCAAAATCAAACCTAAAGGGAGAAAATTGTTCAAGAGCAACACTTCGACATTTTTATTGTATGTTATAATAAATTACCCGGATAACCGGATAATTTAATAATACCCGAGTAGAAATTTTCTTTACGGGTACAATTTCTATTATTAACGTTCTTCAAAGCACAATCTATGGTATATTTCACATTGGATATTACAAAGCTTGTTAATTTACAAACGCTGATTATAAATTTTCAAGAAGATTATTCAAAATATGCAGGACTGGCGCGTATCTTGAAATAATTTATTCTGCAATACCTTGAGTTCGAAACCATCACTTATTGCATGGGTCTTATATGACAACCCGTGCTTTTTTCATTTACTTATTGACACGGGATTGTTACGTCAGACACCGTGCAATAAGATAGTTATTGTATGGGTATGTTGAATAACCCAGGTACACACACGGGTTCATATTTAAATCCCGTGCTTTCGGCACGGAATATGAACCCGGGTTATTCACTACATACCCATGCAATAACTATAATTTACTATTCCGGCATTTAACAAAGCCATAGCTAGATGTTGTCTGAATTTACGTTGTTTGACTACGTGGTTTCATAACAATAACATAGAAGAATTAAAGAAAAATCCTTATACTTATCCTGCCCAAGATTAGAAAATTAACGCTTGTGACATATATGACTGATTCTAAGCGTTGTGATTAAAGTTACGATCCGCGTCTTTAATGAATTTTTAGAGATTATTGAAAATTTAGAAGAGTCAACACAACAAAAATTGAAATTGAATAAATTAGAATTATGCTGGCTATGAAAATTTGATATAGATTTCTTGGAAAATTTCTTGATCAGATGTAAGGACCTTAGGGAACTTATATGTGTAAGAATTTTGATTGAGTTCAAAGTGAAGGGTTTAATTAATGACTTCAGGACTTTGGAATTAAGAATTATATTAAATTTTCAAATAATTTTGTGAGAAGCAGAGTTGGCTTGATGGCAAGTAATGTAATTTAAATTTTATTACTATCGCTAACTTAATTTTTAAATAAGGTATATAACTAGAATTTACGTAATAGTTGCCGGTCACATTATCGGAAATAAATAATGATCACCAAATGTATTACATGGCGCGTTAGTATGTAACTTAGTTAAGAATTTATGCTGTAATGATAATTGTAATGTTTATGCCGATACAAAATTTCCTTTTCCACGTGCATAAACCAAAAAATTTTTCGAATGCTTTCTTGATTACAATTATATTTGGTTAAATTAAATCGCTTCTCCAAAGAACAATGTTTTCGAGGTTATGGTTAAATGAAAACTTATGGAATAAAAGCGAAAATTTAAAATTTCGATTTGGTGTAAATTCTTCGCTTTACACTTCGAATACATATTTTGTATTTTCGTAATATAGTTTGTCTCAATTTATAAAAGAATGCAGACAATCTTACGCCATTCAACTACTTTAGGGCAATGGGCACCGATAAAATACGCCTTTGCTTGCTTACGTATTTTTGATGAAACTTTAATTTTAATTTTTGACCTGTAATAAAAGTTTCACAACGTCAAAATGTGCAGGTGCGACACATTACTTCTATTTATCAAAATATCAACAATTATTTACTTTTTGAAAATAAATATTTGTCAATTCAGTCAAAAATATAAAATGGCACCAGTATTTATTATTAATGATTATTTTTTCCATTAAAATTGTCTTCTTCCATTTTTGAAGTTTAACATATAGAGGAGAAAAATTTATACCATCGCTTAAAAGCGAAACCAAAAAATTTCTTATACAAGAAATTATATATTTATAAAAATGTCGAGCAATGCAACTGAACAACTTAATACGAGCTCAGCCACAGCGACATTCGAATCTGCTGTAATTTTTAACATAGCAGTTACCGCAGCAACGTTCATCTCTTTTGATTTAATAAGGAAAAGGATTGCAAAAGTTTTTGAGCCGAGAACTTATATAGTTCCAGAAAAGTAATATTCTATCTACAGATTTAATATTTTTTCATAAATCTTTCCTAATTATCTCTTATCTCTATCAAAAGCAAACGTTCTAATCCAGTTCCTAGTGGGTTCTTAAAATGGTTGAGGCCGACTTTAAAGACTCCTGACGAAGAGATTGTATCTAAGGCTGGATTGGATGGATATATGTTTCTTCGTGTAATTCGGACATTTATGATATTGTTTACTGCATTCACAGCATTGGGGATTGGTTTGATTTTACCTGTGAATCGTATCGGTCAATATGATAAACCTGGACTGGAAAGCTTTACCATTGGTAATGTCAAAGACAAAGAGAGATTATATGCTCATGTGGTAGTATGTTATATTTTCACCGGTAAGTTACCAAATTTTAATTGTCATTCGCTACAACGTAACCTAACTATAACAATTGCATGAATTATTTGCAGCTGCTATTCTTTATACGATGTATCATGAATATTATACGTATATAAGGTTACGTAACGAATTTCTCACAACACCCGAGCATCGTGTATCTGCACGTGCGACCACAATTTTGGTCCTTGGTATTCCTCGTCAACTTAATAACACTGAAGATCTAAAAAATCTATTTAACGTGTTTCCTGGGGGTGTGAAACGAATCTGGATTAACAGGTGATATTTCTTTCTATCTAATAAAGAAATTTCACGATTTTACTACCATTTATTTAACTCGAAATTTCATATTCGATTTATTTTAGAGAGCCAGCTAGGTTGATAAATCTTACGATTAAAAGATTGAAAACAATTAATAAACTTGAAAGTGCTGAAACCGCATTTCTTGAAAAGTATTTAAAGTATGTTGTAAAGGATGGCGAATCAGGACAGGACGTCGAAGATGGAAACAAAAATCCTGTGTCTCTGCGTCCAACTCACAAAACGATTCCCTTGATTGGTAAAAAGGTGGATTCTATCGAGACATATCGCGAAGAGATTCAAAAGCTTAATGAGGAAATTAAAGAACAGCGGCATAAGACAGATACTTTCAAGCTGTTAAACTCTGCATTCATCCAATTTAATGATTACATTGGTGCTCAATTAGCCGCAACCTTGACAATACCACGATTAACAGAAATTTCACGAGAAGATGTTATTTGGGAGAATCTTAATTTTACACGTACATCAAGGATATTTAGAAAAACAATAAGTTACTCAGTTACGACCGCTTTAATAATCCTTTGGTTCATACCTGGTAATTTATAATTTATATAGATTTTAATATTTTTTTCTTTATCATGTCTCACATGACAAATTCGTTTTCAGTCGTGTTTGTTGCATCAATTAGCACACTTTCCGAGTTATCAAAGATTATTCCTTTCTTAACTCCACTTGTAAACAAACTTCCCCCATCAGCAATTGGGTTTATTCAAGTAAGTACTGTACATTGTGGTTAAATTTATCCTATTTCCAATCATATATATATATATGTTTATGTTTATTTTTTATTATATTTTAATTTAGGGTGTTCTGCCTGCTATTGGCTTGGCAATATTGATGGTATTTTTGCCTATCATTCTGAGAGGTATGATTAGTATTGCTCTTTAATTAAGTAATCAATAAACAAGCTAACACCCTTATTATATTATTATTATTATTTAGTATTGTCCAAATTCGAAGGACTTGTTACACATTCTGGTGTTATGCTAAGCTTGCAAGAAAAATATTTCTTTTTTCTGGTCAGTTTCCATTTTCCATTCGACTTCATAATTATTTAAGTATTCAATACAAATTATTCAATACCAACTAACTTTATAAAAACTTTAGCTCATTAATGTTTTGCTAGTAACTGCTTCCGCAAATGGAATATTTCAAGCTCTTCCATCATTTATTCAAGCACCAACAAGCATCGTATCCAGTCTCGCACAAAATCTGCCATTAGCATCAACATTTTTCCTTACTTATGTTCTCCTTAGTCTATCTGCTGCTGCGATGGAAGCTTTACAAATTGGAAGTTTGTTTATGTATCTTTTCACTAAAATGTTTCTTGCTAAGACTCCTCGTCAAATTTTTTGTAATGAAACAACTTTAATATATAAAGATTGGGGAGTCACTTTCCCTCCACATATTTTGATGGCTTCAATTGGTAAATATTTCAATCTTATGTAAACATAATATCACGTGACACGTGATATATAACTTTATTAATTGTTTAAATTGAAATCTAGGTCTTGTTTACTCGGTGATTCAGCCTTTAATTTTACCATTTACAGCATTGCACTTTGCATTATTCTATCTTGCATATCGGTACAATTTTTTATATGTCTACGATCAGATCTATGAAACTAATGGCGATCTATTTATACATGCCATGAAACAATTTTTTTGGGGAATATTCGTTTTCCATTTAACTATGATCGGTTTAATGTTTCTTAATCAAGCATTCGCTGCTGGAATACTTTTAATTATTTTGTTTGTTATAACACTTGGTTTAATCCTTGGTATGAGACATCATTTCCAGCATAACCCAAAAGCAGAATTTTTACCCGCGGACTTATTGGGCGTAATCGATATGAAAACAAGAAAAATTATTATTGACGGAAACTTTACAAAGTCGATCTCTACTATTACAGAAGATATCGAATATGATGAAAAAGCTGATAAAGAATTCTCAGGATCTACGAGTCAACAAATTTCAGAAAAACCTTTAGCAGATATTGATGACGAATACATTAACCCAAATGTAGTTCATATCAAGCATGGAGATGTAGATAAGGAAGGAAATGCAAATACATATTTGCATCCGGCGCTGATTATTAAAAATCCTTTAGTTTGGATACCACAAGATAGTACAGAAACGTATAAAGATGAAGTCAAAAGATGTCGGGAAAGTGGGTTAAATGCAACGAGTCAAGGTGCAACAATAAATAAAAAGTACAAAGTTGAAGTAGACATTAACAAAGCGCCTAACATTAAAGATGAACTTTATGTGGAAAGCGCAGAAAGTTGGGAAAATACACAAAATGTGACTGATTAATCTTTTTCGTTTTTTTATTTTATTTTTATCATTATTTGTGAAAAGGAAATTCAGTAATCAACGCTTTTTATGTATTTTCAGCGTATTAAGGGACTTTTAAACAAACTATTCTGTTCTTGTTTTAATAAGCGTGTGCGAGATTATTGACAAGGTTTGTCAGGTTTTTTTTTGCAATTTTGATATTGCTAGAGAAAAGCTTGATTACTGGTTGAAATTTTGTAGTAATATTTTGTATTAGATTTTGTAAATAAATTGTATATAAAATAGGGAAAACTTTTTTAGTGCACCTGCACTGTAGTGCACCCCCCCTTGAAAATTTTTTTAAAATTTGATTAAATATT